GTTCGAACATGATTTGGCGTTCAAACGTTTAGTCTGTCTTTTCTTTAAGGGTGTTCAAACGTTTGGCCTGTGGTTACTGACTTGGTCACTTCCATACATCTTGAACAACCTTGACTTTACACTCAGCAACTTGGTCCTTAGTCACTCAAGACAATGTTCGAACGTGGAGTGGCGTTCAGATATTGTACTCAAGTACTTCTGGTTCTTTTTTCTTTACTGCAACATGCTAGGTTCCAGTGGTGTAGTCTTCTCAAGATTCCAAAGGAAGTTCGAACATGAGTTGGCGTTCGAACGTGGTACTCAAGTACCTCAGAATTTGTCCTTTGTTGACTACAACACGCCATGTCTCAGCAACTATTCTTGGCAGGGTTTCAGAGGACGTTCGAACGTGGGTTGATGTTTGAACATCCTTGCTTTGTTCCAACCTTCTGTAATTTTGTTCCCTAATGTGTTGGTGTTACATTCAAGTGTGATTTTTGTTGTTCTTGAGCCTTTGTTCTCTTTAGAACCTGAAATGTCATTCCTTAAACTCCATCAAAGTACAATTAGTCCAAAAAGGCATAGTAAAAATTGTTAACTTTACGCACGAATCAGGAGCGTGTGGAAAAAAAAGAGAAGAATTATTGGATTGTCCTCCAAAGCTCCAGTTGAACGGCAAATCCCCCCTCTTCCGTGCTATTCTTAGAAGGAAAAGAAATAACTGTTCGGGACTCAGCTGCCAAGGATGTGAATGTTACAATGGGGATAACAAGGGGAGTTATCCTACCTCAAGACTTGGCTACAAACGGAGCGATGTCTGATGATGAGATCTCTCGACAAGCCATCCAGCAAATGTTTCTAGTATTGTCAATACTTAGAGAAAACTTTTTACTCTTAAAAGTTATGGCCTCTACTCAGCTCTTCTTCAAAGGGTTCGCTCCCAAGCACTTAGTTAGGGACTTTTTCAGAAGTTATGGCCTCTGCTCGGCCTTTCTTCAAAGAGTTAGGTCCCAAGCACTTAGGTAGAGGCTTTCAATACTTGGAAATTTTTCTAAGAAGACTTGGTCCTCTTTGGCCTTTCTTTGAAGAGTTTGTTTTTGTGTACACACCGACCCGTAGATCTAATCGTCAGATCATTACTCATTTGGTTTACATCATCATGCCTAACTTTGGGCCTGGATCTAATCAGGTCGCTACACTTGATTTAGGATTTTACCTCTATCAGGATTTTTGCGTCCCTGCTTTGGTAGTAGGATGAGTTCAATCAACTCAGAATTTGACAAATTCATTATGAACTTTTATAAAAAATGTTTTAGAAGTACAAAGAGAAATATTCTTAACAAAGGTATTATTTTATTTCCTAATGGTACGATCCTCTTGGGGGCATCCCTCTTTCTCGAAGGTACTTCAGAGTTTGTATTCATGAAGGCACTTCAAAAATAGAACTTTCACAGATTAACTATATTCCAAGATCGGTGTACATGCCTCTGGTCCATAGTCTCGAGTTTGTAGGATCCATTTCCTTCAACTCGGGTTACCTTGTAGGGCCCCTCCCAGGTGACACCTAACTTCCCATGCATTGGATCCTTGGCGGCCCCTGTGACGCGTCTGAGCACTAAGTCCCTAAAGACAAAAGAATGGGGATTACCTCTCCTGTTGTAGGCTCGAGCTAGGCAACTATGCGTACTACCGTCGCCTCCCTCTTTTTATTGAGCATATCTAATTCTCGGCTAATGGTTGTGTCATTAATTCCATTTATTACTAGGTTGGTCCTAAGCGTAGGCAACCTGATTTCCAAGGGTATCACGACTTCCATGCCTTAAGCAAGTGCAAATGGAGTTTCCCCCGTTGTGCATCAGGATGTGGTTTGATATGTCCACAACATGTTGGACAACTCTTCTACCCATCTACCTTTTGCTTTCTTCAACCTCTTTTTGATTCCATTAAGGACAATTTCTTTTTTAGATTTCTCCCTGCCCGTTACTCTGCAAGTAGGCTGACGTGAAGTAATGATTCTGAATTCTATACTGTTGGCAGAAAGCTTTGAAGGGCCCATTATCAAATTGGATCATGTTGTTAGATATAAGGAAAGTTGGTATGATGTACCTGGTGATGATGTTCTTCCACACAAATGTTTTGGTATCTGTATCCCTTATGTTAGCCAAAGGTTCTGTTTCTTCCCATTTTGTAAAGTAATTGGTTGCAATTAGCAGGAACCATTTATTCCCTGGAGCTTGGGGTACTATACCAACTATGTCAATCCCTCATTGCCTGAAAGGCCAAAGGCTTGTTTATCGGAGTAAATCTTGTGCGGGTTGCCTAGAAATTGGGGAAATAATCTAGCACTTCTTGCAGCGCCTAACAAATTGTTGTGCATCTTTTTGTATGTATGGCCACCAATATCCTTGAGAAAGTGCCCGGGGGCCCAGTAACCTTCCCCATGTGTGTGCTCCACTACTCCGCTCATGGATTTCAAATAGGAAATCTTGGACCAGGTTCCGGATGTACGCATCTAAGGTATGGTCTAAAGAACGAACATCAATAAAGCTCTTATTTTGGGGTTAACTAGAACCTAGCTGATTTGAGCTTGTACCTTATGTGCTTCCTTTTTGTTTCTGGGAAGGTATCTGATCTTGAGGTAGCTGATAATCTCATTCATCCAACTTGGTTTAGTCTAGTTTGTAAGGAGTTCCTCTACTTCTAGAGGCTTGATGCTCGACTCAATTTGGTATTTTACTATAATGGTTCTCCCTCCTTTTTCATTTACGGTTGAAGCTAGGGAGACAAGCGCGTCGGTATGCGTATTTCTTGCTCAGTATCATGGCATCGCTATTTTCGTGCTTAGATATTACTATGTATAACAATAATCGTTCCCTGGGGATGGTTTAGTTAATAGGGGTGAAGCAGCTAATAGAACTTTAGGTTATTGAAGGCCTCTTCACACTCCCGATCCCATATCTGCTCGATCATAGGGAGTGTCAGCAACACCTTCGTTTTTATTCTTGCTTCCATTCCCCTCCATGAATTGTAAGAGGTGTCCAGTTTGGACCAATTCTTTTAAGTGTTGCTTCAAAGAACTGCAGTTCTTTGTCATGCTCCCCACATCTTGGTGGTATGAGTATCTAAAGTTTGGGTTTCTCTGGTTGGATCACCTCCCAACTTGTTTGGCCATTTGAAGTAGGGTTATCTCTTGATTTGTGAAAGAATTTTGTAGATCAATTCTTTGAACGTCGTCTTGACTCCCCTATACGGGGACTTAGAGGGGAACCCCACTTTTTCCTTCCCCTTTGCTCCATCTCAGGCTTGTACTCCCAACTTCTCTTTGCCAAACTGCTTTTTCCTGACTTGTTCTTTACTTATGTCTCTGCGGAGGTCATCATCGACCTTGGCTTATTTTTCAACCCTGGCCATAAGCTCCTTTATGTCCATTGTTGGTCTTCTTGTAAGCAATTGAAACAACAGATTTTCCTTCGACAATCCTATTTTTAAGGATGTTACCATAATTCTGAGGTTGCACGCCTCCACTTTACTCATCATTTCCCAATACCGATGGGCATACTCCCTTAGCGTTTCGCCATTCCTTTTTTTTAATGTCACCAATGCCCCATCATCCTTGGGCTATCGATTGCTAGTGATAAACCGAGTTGTGAATTACTTGGCAAGTTGGCCCCAGATATCCACCGAGTCCCTAGCAAGTTCGTTGAACAATTTCAAGGCCTATTCTCTGAGGCTGCTGGGGAATATGGTGCATAACTGAGGCTTATTCTTCCTATGAACTGTCATTAGCAACCTATAATGAAGAATATGGGCGGTTGGATCTGTTTTACCAATATACAGTTTGAAGTTCGGGATGACAAACTTGCTCGGGATCTTGCAAGTTCGATCCATTTGGTAAAGAGAGAAATCTCTATTCCTTCTACATATTCTCCCATGGCCCTTCATGTCAGGTTTCTTATCGCTTAGGCCTCTTCAATCGACTATTGACCTCTTCGGCGATGAAGCATTTTCACTCATCTTCTTGGTTTTCAATTCGGTGAGACTTTCTCCGGTATCTAGTTTTTGATGAGTCTTCATCACTCCTCTGCTTCTGCCTCTCTGGTGTCCTCCATCGTCGTCTTGTAGAGCGCCATGCATTTTCATTAGCAACCTCCTTTTCTCTAGCCCTTCTCAACTCGTCCTTTAACTTCTTGTTTTCTCACTTTAAGGCATTGTCTCTTGTGTATGACTTCTTAAACATTGCATCGCTTGCATCTAATTGATCATGTAGAGATTAAACCAATTTTTTTAGGGTGGAATTATCCCCCTCGACACGTAGGGACTTGTCCCATGGAGTGTCGTTCTGGTCCTCATTATTATCAGGTTTGAAACTAGCTGAGGATATCTTATCGTTGTGCTGTTCCTGGCTTTCATAAATATCTACCCTGATGTCACTATCTGGGCTATCTGCACTATCTGAAGAAAATGACACACGGTATTTTGGATCCGTGTCCTCTTATTGAGCATCAAAACTTACTAGTGATCCAATGGTGCTCTTGAACCTTGCCGTTGCTTTTTTGTTTTGGAAGATTTCCATAGATGGCGCCAAATGTAAGTAATTACAATACCTCTGACATTTGATGAAGAAAATTGTATTCCTCTCTCCAAGTCATTCTCACAAAATGAACAAAATTGCCTAGGATCGAAGTGCTTTTATTGAAGGTACACTAATTCTTAAGTCAGTAACTATTTGGAAAGAATATGTATGCGAAAAAGATTCTACGTACCTTTCACAGGGAATCCTACACGTTTTATATAGATCTTGCCTTGTTTCTAGGGTTTCTCTTACTAGTGGGGGAGATGACACATCTCCCCTCACTCGATAGTGTTTGTTGGGGATCGCTGAAATATCTCCAAACGCTCCCTAAATTGCATTTTTGTTGAGCCATTGATTTCGCCTAGTTGTTGCATTTAATTCCCAAATTGTAGGTGCTTTCCCCATTGTTTGATTTAGGTCATGTTTTCAAGCTAAACTCTGTACAATTATGCTCAATACCATGACCCAAGTTGTCATAGTTCGGTTCGACTCATCCCTAATTATTGCTATTTGTGGCCCACGTGACGTGTTCTTTCAAGAACATGTGAGTGCGTTATTTGTACACATGGCATGGATTTATACCTCTTCAAAAAATATTCTGGAGTTGATGGCACAAAATCATCATTGAGTTATTGCTTGATAGTGACTTTGGTTGTATTTGTTGCCCTTTGCTTAGTTGGGGTATGGATGACGACATCGTCTTACCTAGTACCTGTTCAAAATGCTAACATGTCATCTTAGGAGAATAAGAATGAGGTGAAGATAGAACTGAGTGAGAACAATGAAAATAATGCTAGTGCAGAGAATAGTAATACTAGCAATGAGAGCAACACCAAGCAATTTGAGGATAACCCGGCTGATTTACCTGAGGAAGTAACAAAAGGGGACAACAATGTGAGTTTAGCTTCTCAAGAAGAAAAAATTTCTAATTCCCAGGAGAACTCAGATATTCCAGAGAAAACCACCGAAAAAACAATAGAGGAAATTCAAGAGAAGCTTGAAAAGAAGAATGAAGAAGAGAATAAATCAGAAGATGCATCAGAAAATGAGATGGAAAATTTAGAAGAGAAAAAGGAAAATGGAGGATCAAATCTTGAGAAGAAGGATTCTGAAGCTGGAGGTGAAAGTAATTTTGGTAAACAAGGAGATTCTGAGGAGGGCCTAATTGGAGATAAATCAAATTTGGATGAAGGGTTGGAGAAATCGGAGGAGAAATCAGGTGAAAAAAAAAGACGTTTATAAAGGAAATGATCAGATAGAGGAGAATGTGGAGCAAAAGGAAGATAATGAGTCAGATTCAAATTTCACTGAGAAAAAGGAGGATGACAAGACCAAAGATCAGGCTTTACTGTTACGCTTTGCTTGATTTCAGGCGTTGGTTTAGGCGATTGAGGCTCTGGTGCCTAGACTAGCATTTATTGCCGTTGAGGGAGCAATTAGTGGTTGCCAGCTATTTTTTACTCATGTTCGTTGAAGCTCAGGTCAAGGGAGCTTGAGGTCTGGATTCCGAGCTCGAGCTTTCTTGGCTGAGCTCGAGTTTTCCTAGCTGAGCTCCCTTCTCGACCTCGATGGTCATGCTCAAACTTGGAATTTCTTCTAGGTATCATCAGTTGCCCCAGTCCCTGGTTGAAGTGAGTTTGAGTAGGGGTTGAGTTGAGACTAGGTGTCTCCATTGATTGACCTAGATTTATGCGTGATAAGAATCCATTTTGATGATTTTGCCGAATGTGCAATCGTCATTGCCTTGTTTCCCGCGCACATCCTGTATTTCGATGACCCACATACCCCAACCTTTTAATGCTCCATCGGTGGGGAAACTACCTTACTTCCCCTTTCATCTTCTCTCAGACCTTGCACTTTCTTCTTCCTTACGATTTTAATTTCCCCAATCTGCTGGTGATCTTAGGGTTTCACTGAAAATTAACTTCCTTCGATTTGGTTCGAAGATTTTGTAAGGCTTGCTCTTCGACTTCACTTTGGCCTTTGGTTTGTCGCTCGCTCTCGGTTAGGTACGGTTCTTGGCTCTTGTTCGTTTCTTTGTTCTGAATCCCTCGAATCTGAGATGGTGGCTACATTTTTGGACCTTCATTTTGCTACTTTAGGAATTGAGGCTACTCCTTGTCCTTTCTTCCCTTCTTTCTAGATCCTTACTCCACTACTAGAGTCTTTCTCATTGGTAGCAGTTGTCTTGACCCTCTGACTCTCAGGGATTATTTTGCTAGTGTCCCATTTCCTTATTCCTCCTTTTATCTCCCCTTTTCCAACCCCATCATGTCTAGTTTTGAAGCTACTGCTTCATCGGTTTCCCTTGCCATAGGAGAGAGGTTTGCTGGAGAAAAGGACATTGATTTAGGAGACGTAGGTGAGGAGATTAATAATTTCCTTAGTGTCAATTTTGTCGATGCTGGGGAAGGAACGAAGGAGCTCCCCCCATCATCTTCCCCTGTGCCTAAGAAATCCAGAAAAGGTAAAGACAAAGTTAGTGGCATCGGGATTTCTGGCAGTGCTGAGGGTGTAGAGGTTACCCCAAAAGCTTCAGACTTTACGGGTTTTAGTGAGGTCACGCCTCCTTACAGGAGGGTTTTGTCTGCTCATTTTGGCTTTTCCCAAGGTATGCAGTACTGGTGTCCTCACGTGGATGTCAGGTATGACTCTTAAATTCCTAAAAAGGTTTGCTTCTTTGTGGCCACTCTCGAGAATGACCTTCGTTTCCCAGTACACCCCTTTCTTAAGGGTGTCCTTCAATATTTCAATGTTTGCCCCGCTCAAATATTTTCCAATTTTTAGGGTATTCTGGTGGGTCTCCTTGTTTTTATCAAGAAGCATGAGCTTGGAATTCCTACTGTGCCTTTGCTCATGAAATTTTTCAATGTCAAGTTCACCCTTTCTGATGGCTGTCTGTACATTTCTAAACGGGTAAAAGCTCGAGCCATCATTACTGATCTTCCGAGCTCTCATAAATGTTGGAAGAAGTTCTTCTTTTTCATGTCAGGAAAAGAATGGGAATATAATCACGAAGATGTGGCTGACAGCCTCCCTATGCCTTAGGCTTGGTCTGCCCCTGATAATTTGGGTAAGCCTTGATTGAGTAAACTTGGTTCAATATTGACGATTTATTTTACTGACCTTGTTCTACTTGTTTTGCTTTTTAGGTGTTCGACCCGAACTCAGTGCTGAGGACAAGCTAGTTCTGTTGAGCTTAGAAGATTATAATCCAGAGAAGTATTCCAAGCTCATCAAGCCTGAGGTGTTTACTGAGCTTGGATTTATTCCTCCAGAGGTGAGGGCTGAGACTCCTATTCCCCTTTCTATTGTTGGTGTAGAGGAGGCTGCAAGTAATTCTCTCATTCTACCCTTAACATCTATTATAACGCTTTCCTCTCCTTACTTTTTTTTTCTTTTTAATCTATTTGTTTTCGCTTCCAGGTTCTAGCTCAATGGGCCTGAGTTCGAAGGTTTTGAAGCCAAAGTGTGACTTGTTAAAGAAAACCAAGAGTGGGAGTAAATGGAAGGCCGAGGTCGGATCAAAAAGTGGTTTTTCCCCCCAGCCAAGGTGCCGAGGTCAAAGGTGCCTCCCGCTTCTCCCTTCTTCCTAAGGGACTCTTATTCCTCCATCGTGCTCTCTGAAGATCGCACTGACCTCACTTCCTCAAAGGAATGTGCCTTCCTCATCTGGAGGGGACCTTGAGCAAATCATGGTTTCGACTTATCCTTCCTTGACAAAGGTCGAGGGAGCCTTGGAGACGATCACCCGTATTCTTCCCAGGTTTACCCTTTCTAGGTCGACTGTGAAGTCTCATTAGATCTTTTCACCACCTCTGTAGCTCTGGTGGATAATAAGGGATGTTGGCGTGTATCTGGTAGACCTTACATCTTTTGACCACCTTTGTAGCGTCTTTGATTATAGTGGGCAAAAAGTACACTTGTCATAATACCTTTGAGTATAGTGGGCAAAAAGTACAGTTGCCATAACACCTTTCCTGCCGGAGCTCGAGCTCTGATATGGTTGCTGCAAATTCTCTTGTGGATCTCCCTGAGTATGTAATTAGCATCCTCGTCTCCTACGCATTTAAGGAGAGGTGCTAAAAAGCCTTGTTTATATAGGTTTCCTTGTAGGATCGTGAATCTGGATGACATGGCTCTTAGCTTTGCGGCCTTTTTGGGGTCTTCTGGCAAAGTCCCACTTTGAAGATATTCTTTGATTTGGTCCATCCAACTTGGCGGGGCCAATACAGGGAGCACTTCTTCGTTTTCATGGTTTATAGATGGTTCAGCTAGGTGTTCAATAGGGATTAATCTATCTAGGTTCTCCTGGGAAGCTGTAGCAAGCCTTGCCAAAGCATCTACTCAAGAATTCTCAGTTTTGGGGACATGCTTGACTTTGACTTGCAAGAATTTCCTTATTAGTTCTTGCGCCTTTTTAGGTATAGGATCATTTTCTCTCTGTTAGCCTCATAGGTCTCTTCTATTTTCTTTACCACAAGATGGGAATCGTTGTAGATTTTGAGCTACTCTGCCTCCATTGAGTGGGCTAGATTAAGTCCAACAACGATAGCTTCGTATTCTGCTTTGTTGTTTTGAAGCCTTGAATCCAAATCTCAGAGCATACTCAATGTTTATTACATTTGAGGAGGTCAGAATCAACTTTGCACCTCTTCCTTGGGCATTGATAGCTCCATCTACTAAAAGCTTCCATGTAGGGAGGTGAGGTACTAGTAGGGTTACTTCCATAGTGATTTTTGTGGCTGTAGTGAATTCTGCAATGAAATCTGCCAGAATCTGTCCTTTGACTGCAACTCTGGGTTTGTACCTGATATTGAACACACTGAGCTCTATTGCCCATTTGACCAACCTACCTGAGGATTCTAGTCTATGCAATACCTGCTTCATTGGCTTATCTATTGGGACCTCTCTATGGTGTGAGCTTGGAAGTAAGGTTTGAGTCTTCTTGCTGTTGTAACCATAGCTAAGACTAATTTCTTCATCTTTGGATACCTCTCCTCTGCCCCCTCAGAGCTTTGCTACAATAGTAAACTGGATGTTGAGCTCTGTCTCGTTCTCTTACTAGCGCGACACTGGTTAAGAAATCAGAAACAACTAGGTAGAGGGTGAGTACTTCCCTTTTCATAGGGCTTACCAAGACAGGGGGTGAGCTGAGATAATTCTTACGGGCTCTGAATGCTTTTTCGCATCAAGAATCCCATTGGAACACCTTAAGATTTGGGAGAAAGGTTGACATTTGTCGTTCGACCTGAACACAAAACGACTCAAAGCTGCTATTCTTCCTATCAGGCGTTGGACCTCTCTAATGTTAGAGGGAGGCTGCATGTCTATTATCGCCTTAACCTTTTGTTGATTTGCCTCGATTCCTCTACTGTTAACTATGTAGCCAAGGAATTTTCCTATTGAGACACCAATGGTACACTTGGCTGGATTAAGCTTCATCTGGTAGTTCTTGAGGATTTGAAAGGACTCCTCGAGGTGCTCTATATGGAGTTTAGCCTTTAATGATTTCACAAGCATGTCATTAATGTACACTTCCATCAATGACCCAATCTATTTTTGGAATATTCAATTTACTAAATGTTGATATGTAGCTCCAGCGTTCTTCAATCCAAATGGCATGACTTGGTAGCAGTATGTTCCTCATTCGGTTACAAATGACGTCTTCTCCTTGTCACTGGTCTCCGTTATGATTTGATTGTCCCTTGAGAAAATGTCCATGAAGTTGAGGAGTTCATGTCCAGCCATGGCGTCTACGATCAATCTATTCGAGGTAGTGGGAAACTTTCATTGGGGCAAGCTCGATTTAGATCAGTGAAGTCGATGTAGAAGCCTAATTTGCCGTTGGTTTTTCTAACGAGGACCATGTTGGCTAACTAGGTTGGATAGCCCACCTCCCTAATAGCTTTGGCATGGAGAAGTTTGCTGACTTCCTCGTTAATTGCCTTTTGGTATTCTAGGACAAAGCTCATTCATTTTTGTTTGATGGGTTTGTAGGCTAGGTTTACTCTAAGCTTGTGCATGATGACTGAAGGGTCAATTCCCTATATATCTTCTTGCTTCCAAGCAAATACACCAATATTCCTCCTAAGGAACTAAACAAGGACGTCCCTAAGTTTTTTAGGTAGGTTTGACCCCACATATACCATATGTTTTGGCTTCTCGTCAAGCTGGATGGGCTCTAGCTCTTCGGAGGGTGTGGGTCTTGAATTCAGCTCATCCCTCATGTCTAGCTCATCCAGTTCGATGGCTTCAACATCCTTGCTTTTCATTGATGCGATGTACCATTTCTTTGCCACTCGTTGGTCTCCTCGGACCATTCCAATGCCATTTTCAATATGGAATTTTATAACTAGGTGATAT